GGAGGATGAGGAGGAGGAGGAGGAGGAGGAAGCGGAAGAGGAGGAGGAGCAGGACAAGTCGGGGGGGGGGAGGCGAAAGATACCGATACCGCCGCTACCCTCCCCCTTGCTCCCCTTGTTTTTTTGAGCCTCTGGGGAGGCCTTCGTTGCCACCGGGGATTCGCCTCGAAACCCTGGTCAGAACCCCGAGTCAGGTCTGGGGAGTAGCGGTATCGGTATCGGCACCTTTTGATTTCCCCCCAAAAGGAGGTGGATGCGGATGGGGATGGGATGGGAAGGGAGGGTCGGGGAGGGGAAGGGGGGGAGGGTCCTCCTCCTCCTCCTCCTCCTCCTCCTCCTCCTCCTCCTCGCCGCTCCCCCTCGACGCTTCTCCTCGCTCCCCCTCGCGCCTCCTCGCTGCTCGCTCGCGCCTCCTCGCTCCTCGCTCCTCGCTCCTCGTCCTGGATGTGTTGGGGGGGGGGGAGCGGAGACTGGAGGGGACCGGGAGGCGGCCTGCCCGCGCCGAGGCGGCGAGACGCTGGGCGTGCCTCTGGACATGTGGTCCGCAGGCCGCCCGGGGGAGGGCGCGCCTCTCGGGCGCACTTTGCGCCCAGCCCCGCCCCGCGAGGAGTGATCGGGGAAGCGTGGGACTCGAGCGCGCATCAGGAAGCCATACGCTTTTCGTCAGGGTATCCTCGGTTTCTCTGCTCCTCGCGCTGCGCAGCGACTTCCCGCAGTCGTTGAAGGAGCTGCTGCGTTCAGGGTGCTCCGGGTAATCCCCTCCGGTGCACCTCGCGCGCGGGTTCTCAGGGTTGGGTTTCTTGCGAGGGTTTCTTGCGGCCGCGCCTGCACTGTACGCTGGAACTCGGGTTCGCTGGCGCTTTTCGGCGAGCGAGTCCTGGGTTTTGACGGTCCAGTTTTCGTGGGATGTTTGCTGCGCGGGAGCTCGCGTCAAATTTCAGGGTGGGTCTCGTCATTTTCATGATGGGGCCCCGTCAGGCCAACCCGAGTCCCCCGAACCCGAGTCTTACGTCTCCCCGAATGGAGTCGGGGGTTGCTAGAGGTGCCCTTGGCCCAAGTAGCTCCCAGGTTTTCGCTCAATTTTGGAGCCCCTGGGACCCTTTGGGGCCTCGTGAGGGGTGCTCTGGAAGCCGTGATGGCCTCTGGTGTTCCTCGGGGCCCCTCGGGCCTGGGGCACTTCTAGCACACCCGATGGGGGAGGAGGGGAGATGAGATGAGAGCATTCGCGAAGCCACTCTGCTGCGAAGGCCTTACGGCCTGTGCCGCCGACCCTCACGGGGAACGACGACGACGACGACGCTGACGTTCTGGAGCCGAACGCTTCTCCCAGGAATGGGTGCTCCCCCCATCGGGGGGCGGGCTACAACCCCTGGGACGAGCCAGTCTCTATGTGTCCTCTCGCTTCGCGGGGTGCAGGTACAGAGCACGTAAAGACCGGGCGTTGGGTGGTTTGCCCTGCTCGTCCGCCGCGAAGTTCTACCGCGTCGTTCTGCCCGCCCGGGGGCGCTGCCAGCGCCACAGAGGGCGGATACGCCCTCCCCCGTTTCAGTGCCAGGACGAGCGTGCGAATGTCCACGGGAGCAGTGAGCATTCACCGCGTGTCAGCACAGGGCTACGCCAATTTCAAACTCCGATGAGCATAACAACAGCGCGCCATTCGTATATACAATTCCGCGGGCCTCGTGGTGGGTTCTTGGGGTCGTTTGGGAGCTTCTTGGCTTCGTGGAAGCTTCTTGGGGGTCCTTGGGGGCCTCTTGGGGGCTTCTTGGGGGCCTCTCTGGGGCCTTCGGGGGCCCTTTGGGGGCCTTGTGGGCCGTCTTGGGGCGCTCTTGGAGGTGCTTTTGGGGGCCCCCTTGGACACCTCTGGGGCCGTCTTGGACGCCTCTTGGGCCCTTTTGGGGTCATCTTGGGCTGTCTTGGGGCCGTCACGGGCCGTCTGGAGGCCATGTTGGACTGTCTGGAGGTCGTTTCGGATTCCTGAGAGGCCCCAGAAGCCGATGTCATAGATGATCCTGGGCTCCGGGCTCACGGGGCCCCCCACCTCCCCCAGATGGGATTGGTCTCAGGGTCCCTCGGGCCCCCTCCAGATGGGATCGGGGGCGACGACAACGACGACGACGATGACGACGGCGACGGCGGCGGCGACGACGACGACCTCGACGGCGGCGGCGGCGGCGGCGGCGGCGGCGGCGGCGGCGACGACGACGACGACGACGACGACGACGGGCGACCGACGACCGACGACCGACGACCGACGACCGACGACCGACGACCGACGACCGACGGCCACGACGACGACGACGACGACGACGAAGACACCGTCCTCCTCGTCCTCCTCCTCCTCCTCCCTGATGGGGGGGGCATGGCCAGACCCCATACCCACCACCGCACGCCCACAGGGGAATCCCCCACCATGCCACGCCCACAGCGGTGTGGTGCCCATCGCGCGGGGGGTAGGGGTGGGCCCGATGGCATCAGCATGAGCAGGGGGTGGCTGGACTCTGGATCATACGTTTTCCAATGCGTTTTTGGTACGCTTTTGGGCCCCAGGAAGAGGGGGGACATCTTCGGTGCGCGGATGTGGCGAAGCGCTTGGGGGGGTATAAGGTGTGAGGAGGGGATGCGTAGTACGATAAGTAATAAAAGTTTTAGACATAGTGCATAAATGGGATATACGTGATACGTTGCATTAGGGCTTCCGCTCCGCGACCTGCCTCTGGTAACGCGTGCCTTCCAGACGTGGATTCCTTTCGTTTCGCGCGGTGCACGTCCAGAGCACGTAAAGACTGGGCGTTGAATGGTTTGCCCTGCTTATCTGCCGCGAACGGCCGTGTCATTCTGCCCGCCCGGGGGCGCTGCCAGCGCCTCCGGGGGCGGACGTGCCCTCCCCCGTTGTATACAAGTGCGGGGGCCTCGTGGGGATTTCTTGGGGCCGTTCGGGAGCTTCTTGGGGGTCTCTTGGAGGTTTCTTGGGGGTCCTTGGGGGCCTATTGGGGGCCTCTTGGGGGCCTCTTTGGGGCCTTCTGGGGCCCTTTGGGGCCTTGTGGGCGGTCTTGGGGCGCTCTTGCGCCGTCTGGTCTTTTCGGAGTGCGTTTTTAGGCCTCTCGGGCCCGCCTTGTGGCTCTCTTGGGGTCATCTTGGGCCGTCTTGGGGGCCTCTTGAGCCGTCTTGGGGGGCCTCTTTGGGACCTTGGGGCCCTCCAGGGCCGTCTTGGGGGCCCCCTTGGGGGCCACTGGGACCGTCTTGGGATCATTACGGAGGCTGCTCGGGCTGTCATGGGCCCCCGAGAGTCGAACAAAGGCGAGAACGCGGGAGTCTTGCCAAACCTTTTGGGAAAAGCAGTATTATTGGCCTGCAGACTTGCTCTTCGGGGCCCCGTTGGAGACCTCTGGGGCAGTCTTGAGGGCATCTTGGGCCTTTCGGGGCAATCTCAGGCAGTCTTGCGGCCGTCTGGAGGCCGTCTTGTGCCGTCTTTAGGCCCCCTTGGGCCCCCAAGATGCCTAAGAGGCCCGACTTTGGTATTTTCTTCAGAGTTTTTTTTCGCGTTCGAGCCCCAGAAGAGTCCTTCATCTTTGGGTCTACGATTGTGTGGCGTGACTCTGGTTTGGGGGGGCTGGGGGCGGTTGCATAATAATGTAGTATGTACAGCAAATATGTAATAAGTTGTCACATTGAAAATTTGTAATTGCGCAATGATTTGATTCATTTGATACGTTGTAATTTGGCATCCGTGGACGTGCCTCTGGCAACACGTTTCTTCCGGCCGTGGATTCCTTTCGCTTCGCGGGGTGCACGTCTGGAGCACGTAAAGACTATGCGCTGGGTGGTTTGCCCTGCTCGTTTGCTGCGAAGTAACCCCTCCCCCGTGTCACCGCGGGGACTACCGGGACGAGCGTGCGAATGTCCACGAGTGCAATGAGCATTCACCGCGCGTGAGCCTAAGGTACCGCGAAACTCAAGCGCCTATGAGCATGGCAACAACCATTTGTTCACAATTCCGCGTGCCTCTTTTGGTGGCTTCTTGGGGCTTCTGGGAGGCTTCTTCGGAGTCCCTGGGGGCCTCATGGGGGCCTCTTGGAGCCCTTCTTGGGGCCTCTTGGGGGCCTCTTGGGCCGTCTTGTGGCGCTCTTGCGCGGTCTCGCCCTTTTGGGGGGCGTCTTGGGGGCCTCTCGGGGCCGCCTTGTGGCTCTCTTGGGGTTCCCTTGGGCCATCTTGGGGGCGTTGAAACCGTCTTGGGAGCCTCTTTGGGCCATCTTGGGGGTCTCTGGGGCCGTCTTGGGGCTCTCTCGGGCCGTCTTTGAGCCTGCTTGGGCCCCAGAGGTGCGAAAACGGTGTGAAATCGACACTCACTTCAATCCTGGGACAAACCATGTATTTGGCGTCTGGAGGTGCTCTTGGGTCTCTCCCTGGAGCCCTCTGGGGCCGTCTTGGACGCCTCTTCGGCCCTCCTGGGCCCTCTTGAGGCCATCTTGGGCCGTCTTGGGGTCGTCTTGGGCCGTCCGGAGGCCATGTCGGGCTGTTTTGAGACCCTTTCGGGCCCCCAAGAGGCCCCAGAGGCAGCAGATATCATACATTATCCTTTGCGTTTTTGGTACGTTTTTGGGCCCCAGAAAGAGGGGGGCAGTTCTGATGGTCGTATGTGGCGTAGCGCTTGAGGGTGGATCGTTAAGGGTGGAGCACATCATATTGTAAAGGACCACAGTATGCAGCGATAGTGCGATCATTACATGTGCGGGATGCGTTGTATTAGGGCTTCGTCTCCGCTCCGCGACCTGGCTCCGGCAACGCGTGCTTTCTGGACACGTACTCCTGTCGCTTTGCGGGGTGCGCGTCCGAAGCACGTACGCCTGGGCGTTGGGTGGTTTGCCCTGTTCGTCTGCCGCGAAGTTGTGCCGCACCGTTCTGCACGGAGGTGGATGCGACCTCCCGTTCCAGCGCAGGGACGAGCGTGCATTCACCGCGTGTCAGCACAAGGCAACGCCACGTTCAAATTCCGATGAGCACAGCAACAATGGCGCGCCATTCGTATGCAATTCCGCGGGCCTCTTGGTGGTCTCTTGTGGCCGTCTGGGAGCTTCTTGGGGGCCTCTCGGAGGTTTCCTGGGGGGGTTCGTTGGGGGTGTTTTGGGGGTCTCTTTGGATCCTTCTGGGGCCTTGTGGGGGCCTCGTGCGCCGTCTTGGGGCTCCCTTGCGCCATTTAGCTCGTTCGGAGGCCGTCTTGGGGGCCTCTCGGTGCCGCCTTGTGGCTCTCTTGGGGTCGTCTTGGGCCTTCTTGGGGCCCTCCGGGGCCGCGTTGGGGCAGTCGTCGGGGATTGCGTTTCCCATAATATTAAAATATGGGAAACGCAATTGTGGCTCATTGAGTGCGGTTTTTTGAGGAAAATTGCGTTTCTCATAATTCGCAGGGCTTTGCAGCCCGCGTTGGGGCCCCCTTTGTGGAGTAGCATTGCAATCCTATTGTCTTTCCCCCTCTTGGCCTCGTGCTCCTCTTCCCCCTGCTGCTGCCTCCATGCTTGCATCCATGGCAATTTCGGCACGGAGGGCCCTTGAGCCGTGTGGCACGCTGCGCACAGAAACAGGTTGCACATCTTCATGTTGCATAGCATTGTTTCGACAGTTGGCACCGGAGCGTGAGTTGACAGATCCACGGCATGTCTCGCAGTGCATCCCCTGGAGCGCGCGATGGCCTCTCAGAAGAGATTCGTCAGCAGATCGCTGCTGCCGTTGGAGCGGCGGTGGCGGAAGCAATGAGGACTGGAGTGCCGGGTTCGGCGCCCGGTCCCGAGGCAACGAGGACTGGAGTGCCGAGTTCGGAGCCCGGTCCCGAGGAGACGTACACAGGTTGGTGGGAGCGGCAGTACGGCCGCTGGGAGCGGCGAGGCGAGGAGTGGGCCTTGGCAGAAGCCTTGGAGCCGCCCTCGCGCCAAGCAGGCCACCGACCTGACACCCAGAGCCGCTACGTGGACAAGGAGCCACCTCCGGCCTGGGACGGGCTACGCCCAGAACAGACCTGGAGGACGTACCGACGTTCTTTGGACCACCGGCTGCAGAACACGGACATCCCAGCAACGAAGCATGGGATTTTACTTTGGAAAGTTTTGTCTGGTGATGCTCACTTGACGATCAATCACCTCACAGACGAACAGCTGCAATATCCAGGGGCCGGAAAGACAATCCGGAATATCTTGGACCAAGCTCACAGGCACATCTCTGAGTTTTGAAGATCAGGACGACTTCGACACAGCAGTGTACGGTCTTCACAGGGAATGCAACCAGAGCTTGATGCAGTTCGCCAACATCGCCCGGTCTGCTTTTCTTAAGGCAGATTCCCACGGCGATCCGTTGCCAGACCGCCGGAAGGGCATGATCTTCCTGAGGCGTGCCAAGATCCCTGGGCACTTAGAGGATCACATCATGTCCAAAACCGGTGGCTCCCGGAGGTTCACAGACCTCTTGGATGCGATCCGGGTGCTGTCCCGCAGGCCGACGGCTTCGCAGGCGGGGACTTTCCTGGACGTGGACGAGCAGTGCGACTCCGGGGAGGAGCAGGAGGGTGACGAGGCTTTCGTTGACTACGACAGCGAAGGCGGCGAACTCATCCCCCTAGACGACAGCGACCTGCAGGGCGAGTACGAAGAGGACGATGTCCAGTGGGCGTTGTCTCAGTTTCGCCAGGCCCGCGACGCTGCCCGGAAGGGCAAACCCCAGGGCTACCGGCAGATCCGCCAGAATCTGCAGCAGAGCCGGATCGCCCGCGGGTGGTCCAGCGGCTCCGGAAGCAGCTCGCAGGGCGGGTCGCGGCAGGCTCACGGGCGACCGCCCAAGGGCCGCGGCAAGGGCAGCGAGGCCCCGCCGCCGCCGCGCCCGCACCCGGCGCCCCGGCTGCAGCAGGGCGCCCGGCTGAAGCCGGTCTCTGCCCTCGGGGCGCGCACGCGCTGCAAGGCTTGCCACCAGCTTGGGCATTGGTCGTACCGGTGCCCGAACCAGTCGCAGCAAAGGGAGGAGGCAGGGGCCGGGACGGCACTTGTCTCATCCACCGAACCAGAGTCGTTCTTTTGCGGCGTGGTTGCTTCCTCGGTTCCAGAGGGCAGCAAGGGGGATCGCAGTGCTGAGCTCAGCGCGCGGTCTCCTGAGCAGGAGAGCCCCGCCTGGGCCGACGAGGAGAGCGACGGCCACAAGGAGGGCCGCAGTGCTGAGCTCAGCGCGCGGTCTCCTGAACAAGAGAAACCAGACTGGGGCGCCGCAGACAGCGACGGCGGTTTCGAGCTGGTAGACGAGCCTCAGCAGCAACCAGAGGAGGTGCCCGAGGCGCCCGGCCTGGACGACGAAGACCGGAAGTGGCTTGCTCAGAAACGGCGCCCGGCTACCGAGACCGGCCGCGCAGCTTTCCAGAGGATGGCTAAGCGCGCCGTGGTGGACGGCATCGTGAGTGACATCCGGCGCACGAAGGACTTCTTGAAGAAGCGCCAGGGAGACCCGGAGCAACTGGCTGCCGACCTCGAGAAGCTGGAGGCTCTGCGAGAACAGCACCGCCCTTCCTCGACCGGGAGCGGCGGCGAACTTCCGTTCGAAGGTTGGGACGAGCGGATGGACCGCGACATCAAGGCAGGCATGAAGACTCGCGCTGCCTACAAGAAGATGCGCGGCAGGAAGAACCGCGCCGAGCCGAAGCGGTCTGCTGGAAAGGCAGACAGAGCCGCCGAGAGGCTTGAACTGGAACGCAAGTGGCACGAGAAGCACGACGCGGAGTTGCAGGAGGGCGACTACGTGCCGACGGACGGCCTGAAGGGACACGTCGAGGAGGACTTCATCACCTCGGAGGTCGTGCTGGACAGCGACGGCAAGGAGGTCGAGATCGCCCGCTCCACGGCCCGCGACGACACCGCAGACGAGATGGAGTACCGCAGCATGACCCGCGCGGAGAGGAACGACTACCGGACAGACAGCTGGCGGCGCGACCCTACGCAGGCCGACTTCTACGACCGCCGGGAGCCGCAGCGGAAGTGGGAGTTGCCCAAGAGGGTCTTGACCCCGCAGGCGAAGGCCGGGAAACACCGCCGGCAACGAGAGAACAGGAAGGCCAAGACCTTCCAAGTGGTTCAGTGCTGGCAAGGTGTGCTACGCTGGTGACAAGTGTCCGTACAGCCACGACGTGGTTTCTGCTAGTGCGCCGGCTGCGGCGCGCAGTGCTACGACGGCTTACGTCGAGGTGAGCAGCATTGGCGAGCTCCTCCACAAGGCTCCAGCTGCTCGAGCACGCGCCCAGGAACCGTGGAACGGCCTGGAAGTGTCACCCGGCGAGAGTTTGGCGGACACGGCCGCCCAGAACGGCGTCGTTGGCATCAAGGCTTTCCGTGAGCACGAGAAGCTGTTGTACAACCAGCGTGGGCTGAGGCCCACGCTCAGCTCCAAGCTTGGCACGGCCGTCGGTGTGGGCGGTCGGGCCACAGTGCTGGCGCGCGTCTACGTGCCGTGTGGCATTTGGTGGTGTGAATGGCCTCGTCGAGTGGGCGATCATCGACAATCCGGCTGTTCCGCCGTTGACTCCGGTCAACCTCCTCCACACGCTTGGCGCCGTGGTGAATCTGCCAGATTCGACCATGGAGTTGCGACGCTTGAACAAGAGCACCGCCCTCAAGCGTCTACCAACAGGCCACGTCTCGCACAGTCTCACGGAATTTGCACCAGCAGGGTGGAAGGCACCGCCCACGATGGTGGACGAAGATTTCCGCGTGAAGAAAGGGACGGTGTATGCACCGATGGAATTTGGATCAAAAAGATCGTCTCTGTCATCGCCATCACGTCCATCATCTTCGTCGGCGTGCCCCGTCTTCATGCACTCCTACGACGTCCTCTCAGTCTCTCCTTCTTCCACAACTTCTACCACTACCACGTCTACCTATTCTCCCTCTTCGGCTCCTACCACGCTCAGTCGCCTCCTCTCCTGCGTGAAGGTCCAGGACCCCAGCTGCTCGACGCAGCGTCCGGCCCGAACGTCTGCTGGGCTGTCTGTAAGCGACTTCTTGCGTGTCCGGCCCGCGGCCAATGCGGCCAAGCTCACGCCGCCGGAGGGAGCCATGGGAGGAGGATGCGGCACTGCCGCCGGAACAGCTAAACCTGCAACTGAAAAGGTGGAGGCGTCTGGCGCTACGCTGCTTCGTAGTCCTCGCCGACGCGGCGTGGCAGGCAGTGTTCTCGCGTTGGCGCTCTGTCTCGTTGCAAATTCGGGCGGAGGAGTGCCAGCGCACAGTGGAGATGCAACGGTCCCACTCGAATCCGTACGCGGACCAGCTGATCTGCGACACCAGCAAGGGGGGCTGTGGGGCTATTCTGGTATATCTCCCAACAGCACGCGCTTTGGCCACCCGGGCCAAGAAGGCAACCAAACCAACCAAGACGACAGGGTCTTTGGGTCAAAGGGCCCAGGATATCCAGAGCGAAGCCCCGGAGAAGAGGGATACTTGCCCTCGGTGTCAACGTGGCTTTCACAGGTTCGACACGCAAACCAAAACGATCCTGAGGTGCGACGGTTGGAAGACTGCAGACCGGGTTTGCACGTTCATCCAGGCCCTGCCGGGAGAAACTCTGGACTACGGCCGGACCCCGCAGGAAACCCGAGCCGGAGTGCTGAGCTCAGCGCCTGGCTCCGGGAGCGTGCCGGGTGGGCCTCGCCCCCAAGTCTCGGCCGGTGGTGCCTCGGCAAGTGGTTCTGGACGGCCCGGATCGCCGCTGACTCCGGAGGACCTCTGGAGACAGTGGGAACAGATTCAGCAGTTCACCCAGCACCTGCAGCAGCAGCTCCAGCACCTGCCAAGCGCCGGCGCGTCCACTGGGACCCTGCCGTCACCGACGCCGGTGACCGACCCCAGCGCGCCGACTCCAACGGTGCCGGCTGGTTGGGTGCTGCCGGATCCCGCCCTGGGCTCCAACAGCCAGGAGAGCGACGACGATATGTAACGAGCAGTGGCACTATTGTATCTACTACACCATCTACCTCATCATCGTCATCTTCCGCTCTCTCCTCTATTTCTCCTCCTGCTTCTGTTATGTCTTTCATGTGCGCTCGGCCGTATGAGATTTTGCGGGGGTGTGATGTACCAGAGCTCGCCGGCTATGTGGCCACCTCCGTCTCGTGGCCTTCCGACCGAGCGCTTGCGGTCTACTGCGTTCCTGACGGGTTGCCCGTGCGTCGCCCGCCTTCTTCGTCGGATTCTCTGTTTGGCGATTTAGCAGCAGTCGTCCAACTAGGAATGAACGGCGACAGTAGCAGTGGCGATCGCCGCAGTCCTGGCGATACATCTTCTGGACACGTCGTTGTTTTCGACCCGTCGTTGTTTTTCGAATTCGTCGAGCACGGCGAGTGGCGCGAGGGTGACGAAGTCGCCCTTTCGCGTGAAGATCGCGTGCACCTGCTGGCCAATTTGACCGGAGGCGCGCGTTTTCCGCGGAACCGGCCCGGAGTGCTGAGCTAAGCGCCTGGGTTGGTCTGTCCATCGGCGGAAGACGCGTCTGCCCAAGATGATCCACCCTCAGCCGACGCCCAGCAGGCTGACGACCAGCAGGCAGACGAGCAATACGACGAAAACGCAACACAACCACTGACGGAGGACCAAAAACGCACCATCCAGAAGATCCACAACAACTGCGGTCATCCAAGTAGGGAGGAGTTCCTGCGTGCCCTACGGCTGAACCGGGCAAAACGCCTTGTACTTGATTACGTGCGGAAGCACTTCCAGTGCCCCGCCTGTGACGCCAAGGGGCGAATGCCCAAACCACGGCCGCCAGCATCGCTTCCAAGAACCTTCCGGTTCAATGAGACTCTCGGCGTCGATCTTCTTGAACTGGACTGCCCAGACGGCTCCAAGATGACCATATGCAACGTGGTATGTTGGGGTACTCTTTACCAGTTGTGCGTCCCAGTAGAAGACAAAACGGCCGAGGTCGTGGCTGCTTGCGTAGCGGACCGGTGGGTGCGATACTTCGGCCCGCCGCTTGTCGTCATCGCCGACCAAGGCGGAGAGTTTGTAGGCCAGGCCTTCAAGGACTTCTGCACGCAGAACAGTATCCTCTTCCATCTGACTGACACGCGGGCGCCGTGGCAAAACGGCCGAACGGAGCGCCGCGGGGACATCTTCAATAATAGTGTGAACAAATCTGTTTGGATACATTCTCCCACGGATTTTGTATCATTTCGTCGCTTGATCTCCGAGTGCAACGCTGCCAGGAATAGGCTGAGCAATCGGTCAGGATACTCGCCGCTACAGCGGGTTTTCGGCATAGGCCACCGCCTTCCTGCAGACCTCGCCAGCGATGACATCTACGCCCCAGATGCCATCTATGATCTTGCAGCGTCGGACCCTAGCTTCGAGGAGTCCCGGCGTATCCGGGAGGCGGCCCTGAAGGCCCGCGCTGAAGTGTCCATCAGGGGTCGAATCGAGGAAGCTGTCCGTGCCAGGCCTCGCGTACAAACTCCTTTGCGGGCAGATGACGTCGTCATGGTCTGGAAAACACATCCTCCTTCCAGGCGTTGCAAATGGGTCGGCCCTGGAGTGTGCATCGGTAGTCACAGAGGTAGTCTTTGGATCAACATGCGCGGGGTGTTGTGGAAGTGCAGTCAGCTCCAGTGCAAGTTGGCCACTGCAGAGGAGTCTCGCGGGCTGGAGATTCAAAACATGCTGCTCGACAACATGCGCGCGGACCTCCAGGAGTTCCCAGGCCGTAGAACATACGTCGATGTAGAGCGGGAAGGAGACCCACCTCCAGACGCGAACGTGCCGGCGCCTGCTGCGGACCTCCCTGGCGATGATGACGACGACAACATGTCGCCACAGGAGCCGCCGCCTCCAGCACCAATGCCTGCAGTCCAGCCACAGCCGGAACCGGAGATCAGCCAGGCTGATATCAACAGTCTCCGGAATGCTCTCCAACCTGATGGTCCTGCTCGCCCACGGGCGCAAACTGCTTCTACCCTGCCAGAGCCAGAGTCCGAAGGACGTGGCCCGGCTTCTGCCGACGGGCAGTCTGCGCCGACCGCCAGGACGGGCACGGCTGCTGCCCACGACCCTCCGCCTCCGGAGGGCGAGCCGCCAGCTCAACGACCGCGGCTTGACCTCTCTGCCCCGGGAGCTGTCGACAGGCTGGACGGCCATCCTTCGAGCAGTATGCGTTGGCAGCCGAGGGAGAGCGGAGGCTGGCAGCCTGCTGGTTTCTCTTCTGATCTGCTGGCAGGCGCGTCGACTACAAGTACGGCGCCTTCTACTTCTACTACATTACCTACATCATCTCATCATCATCCGCACGACGAGGACGACGGCGAGGGATGGTGGAGGAGGTCAGTGGAGGAGGCAGTGTGCGAGAACACGGGTGCACCAGCATTGTTCTACGAGGAGGAGGTTGCAGATTTGTTCGGTGACACAACAGACAATATCTTGTGCAATGTGTTTTTCGAAAAGGACAAGGCTACAGGGCTGACAGCTGCCAAGATGCAGCGCAAGAGCGAG